CACCACAATAAAGACTCTCTATTCCAGCTTTAATTCCATCATATTTACAGCTTCGATGTCCCTTTTGGAACAAATTGACTGTTTTATTCAGTTGGTGGGGAGAGAAGTGGGAGACATAAGTGAATCCCAGTGAATGACAGTATGGCACCCCTGGGCGTACCTGCATGTGAGCATACTAGACATTGACGTTTCCAGCCAGTGAATGGAGATATAACTTCTAAAAATCATATCGACTTGTATTATGCTGTGGGGTAATGAGAAGAGAGGTGAGAAGCAGGCAACCATAAAAGGTGTATTGTACAGGGGAACAGGGAGAAGACTTAGTTCCTGAGCACCTACCCTGTGTCAGGGTACAGGAATGCCATCTCTTAATTCTCACCCGAAGACCGTGAGCGAGATCTAGAGCCCCAAAGCAATGCCCACAGGCGTCATCTGCCTCGCAGAGTGGTTAATCTGGTTCACCAGTCAAAAAGTTTGAATATAGATGTCTGGCTCTTGCTGAAAAATAAGAGACCAGGTAACAACAGGCTGGCATCGCACGGGTGGCTGCTCTGCTAGGCTCTATAGTGCTCCTGTGTCCCTCCCCTCTCCCCATGAGCACAACCGCCTCCTCCCTCCTGCCGTTTCCTGCTCAGCTCCTGTGCACATCTGAGCTGTTGACTCCCAAGGCAGATCTAATTCTCCCCTTTTGCTGATGAGTACAGTAACTGAAACTCAGGGCAGTTAAGCACCTTTCCCACGGTTGCCTAACTGAAAGCGAAGAAGCTAGAATTGAAATTTTGGTCCATTTCATTTACATAGAATATAAATATTATTCAGCACTTACACTCTTGGAGAGAATGTATTGTGAGAAAGAGCCCCGTATGTAGGAGTCAAGTTCTAGCTACAGCACTTGAGTGCGTCCAGCCTTGGGCACGTGACTTCGCGTTGCTGCTCTGGACCTCAGACAGCTCATCTGTAAAATGGGGCGACCAGGCCTACTTCACCAGGTCGTTTTGAGGACCACTGGGGATGTTTGGGAAGCCCTTGATACGAAGGCAAGCTCTGTAACTCTAAGAGATGAGAGGGCCGGCAAATCCATGACGGAAGGAAGGTCATGGAGGGACAGACTTGAGCCGGACCTCAGACCTTGAGCTGGTGGGTCCACACAGGAAAGGACTAGCTGAGCCTGGTGGTCGCTGGTGGAAGAGCAAGTCGTCTACAATTGAAACGCACGTGAGGGGAATCCGAGATGACTTACATTCGTAGGTACTAACGGTTCCAGAGAGGGCGGCTCGGATCTCTAACCGGGGTGGCTGGCTCTCGGCCTCCGCCCGACCCCTCCCTGCGCGTCCGCCCTTCCCCTGCGCCGGCCCGCGCCCCTCCGCCCCCGCCCCGCTGTCCCCGCCCCAGGCCTCGCCCCCGCCTCGCGCCGCCGTCCGCCGCTCCGAGCCGCCGCGAGCCTGCCGACGGCGCCCGCGGAGCCCCGCGCGCCGAGCCACACGTGAGTCCCGGCAGGCCGCCGGCCGGGCACCCCACGGCTGAAGGCAGGGGTGAGGAGACCGCCCGGCGCCTTTCGGCTCGTCCCGGTTACTTTGAAACCGAAAGCGCCCGCTCGCGTCCGGCCAGTACCCCCGACCGGCGCGGGGAGGGCGCGAGGGGGCGGCGCGGCCGCGCCGGAGGCAGCGGGCCTGGGCCCGAGGTCGCGGGAGGCCGGCGGGGCAGGCGGCCGCGGATGGGGGCGAGTGGGTGCGGTGTGGAGCGGGTTTTCTTAGCAGGGGAGAGGCGTGGCGAAGACCGAGACGGGGGGTCCCGAGCTGGGGCTGGTCCCGAGCGCGGTCGTGGACGGAGGGGCCAGTTCAGTTGGGGTGCGCAGCGGGGGCGGGCTTTCGGGCACGCCCCGCACACCCGCACTGCGGAGCGGGGCCAGGCCTCCCTCCACGCTCCCAGGCACCCCCCTCCGCCTTTGCAAGACTTTCCAACCAGAGCAGCTCCCGAATGAAACTTGAATTTTGCGAGGAACGGAAACCGCCACCAACTGTTGGTTTGCGCGTCCTCGTTTAGGAACAGTCCCCCTCTGCAGAAGGTGAGCTCAAAGGGGTCTTGAATCAAACCGGGGCTCTGAGAGGTCCGATGAGTTGCCCAGGGGCACCCAGAGAATTCGCAGAATCTCACTTCTCCACCCCAGAGAGTCTCCCCTTGTTACTGCTCTGCGGGGTCTTGGCAATTCTGAGAATTTTCGGTGATTATCGGCGCTGCGCTGTTGCTGCTGGTCCTACTGGGCCACTCTGGCGACTTTCTCTGCTGGCTCTGCCCCCCTCCTGCAGAGTTTCCATATTTGGCTATTTCAGATTTACTTTCGTGAGAACTCAGTCGTCTCGCTGTGGCAGGCAGAGCCGCCCTAGGTGAGTGTTAAGGTTGGTGAACCGAGGAGAGGCTCCCTGCCCGGGCTGCCCCCCGCGGGCCCCATCCTCCGCAGCCCTGGGCCCTGACCCACGTCCTGTGAGTACAGGCATCTGGCAACTAATTTAATTCAGCAAATATTTATTGGGCAAGTGCCGTGTGAGAAAGAACTGGGTGAGGGCCAGTGGAATATGGTTCCTTCCTCTAGAGAGATTTGCATTTTAAAAGAGTTCTGGAAGACATAAAATGCAAAGAAGTTTGTTGAAGTATTTCTGGGAATAGAACAGTTCTGGGTGTGTGAGAGATAATTTTAGGCAGCAAAAGGCTGGGCTAGGACCTCTCAAATCCCAGTGCAGCTGCCTGCTCTGCCTTGTATACACACACAAAGCTGAAAACAGGGGTGTTAACATAATTGATCATCTAAACACCCCCACCCCGAAGTCTACTCTAATTTGATCAAGAGAGACAGAAATTGTTGCAGGAAAGATGGATGTGAGATGTAAGTGGAAAACACCTAGCTTCTGTAAAGGCTTTTGGTTCTGTTATTGTTTTCGCTGCAGCTCATAGATCTGGACAGAGGCCGGAGAAAGTCTCCAGCCTGAGCCAGCATCTGGAAGAGGGGAAGTGATGGAGAAGGTGACTCCTAGGTCCTCTTGGCCGAGGTCTGTGGTAGTGGGGGTAGGATGGCTGTGTTTCCCTCAGTCAGCAAGTGTCACCAAGTACCCTTTGGACATGGGTAGTAGGGTGGTGGAAAGAATAAGGAAGAGAGATGGCACCCCATCCACCGAAAGTGCTAACTGTGGAGACTGGGATATTTCAGGGAGGATGATTTGCAGAATGTGGGCGCTAGATGCCTCTGAGTCAGTCCCGTTAGGCTGATGGGAAAGGCGCCTCAGTACTAAGACGAACCTTCTATGGTTATCTCAGCTTTACTGGGGAGGACGCTGAAGAAAAAAAAATAATTCCGTGTTTGTGAAGCTCTTTCCTTTTTAAAGAATTTTCCCATTGCTCTTGTTTTGTTCTCATTTTGTCCTCCCTGATTCCTGCTTGAGTCAGGCCACAGCGGGACTATTCTTCACATCTCTCAGATGGCGAGGGTGAAGCACTGAGAGTATAAATAACCCCTTGAGCTCCGCCTCTGGACCAGGCATGGAGCTCTAAGGTCTCTGGTTCCCCTGCTCCAGGCCCCTCCCCGTGGTTTCTCGGACAACTAAATCTGCCCACTTGTCTTCATCTGAGGGGCCAGCAAAGAGACCTAGACTCCAATAATGCCTGTGTGGTCTGTTCCCAGCAACATGGAGCACGTTGCGCTGGAAACTGCCCTAGCCACGGCATGAACAGACACCTAGTCCTTTAGCTCTGCGCAGCCAGGCACACTCAGGGCAAGACCTGTGTCTGCTTTTGTGCATATCCTGGAATCTGGCATAGAGTAGGCCTAAACAAATATTGGCTAAATTGCATTGAATTCATCTGGGGTGTGTCTCCCTTGGGCTCTGAGCTGCCAGGGACATGTGCTGGGTCGAGCTTGGGAGAGAGAGGTTGAGCTGCCTGAAGGACTTGCTTGGATCCTAGAAATTAGAATGACACTGTACAGTTTACAAGTAGCCCGTCTCATGTGATTAACTCCCTGCTACCTCTTCAAGGAGAAGGGAGAGGCAGGTGCTATTCCTTCCACTTTATCTGTTGCAAGCTGGGGCTCAGAAGTGATTGGAAAGATCTCTCATCATGTAGGGATGGGATAGGTCCCAAGCCCGAGTCTTGTGACTCCAATTCCTATGCTCATCCCATAGTATCTTGACTAAAAGTAGCCAGGATTCTGGGCAGGAGGAGGATGAGAGAATGAGCAAGATATTCATCAAAAGCTGCCTGACACCTTTGTCACTGATCAGGGTCTTTAAGAGTTAATAAACCAGGAGATGTGGGGAGGGGGCGGTGGCAGACACAGTCTCTGCAGAGCTTTTGTGAGGTTCCTCTGGACGGGAGCTGTCTCCCCAGCAGAGGTGTAGCAGGCGGGTATGTGTGTGTGTGATGGGGAAGGAGGGGAACATGTGGCAGGGCGGAGGCAGTCCCCAGGGCCAGAGGGCACCTGCTGTTGAGGCTGCCAGGGTTGGGCCAGTCTAAGTTTGTTGCTTTGCCCAGAGGAAAACTTTGAGGGATCAGATAGCAACCTTGACTGGTGTGGCCTCTGGCAAGTCCTATCTTGTGAGGAAGTGGGGTAGAGGACCAGGGAAGAGATAAAGTGAAAATCCTCATTAGTCCTGGCCGGAGAACTATAAAGTCTGTTTACGGAGAACTATAAAGTCTGTTTACAGTGACGGTGATGAGCACATTTTGTTTATCGATATCTGGCAGCAGGTGGTGGTGCCTGTTTAGATTGTGCCGTGTGTAGCAAAGGCAGCGCACATCCAAATGGCCTGTGTACTGAACTTCATTTTACAGTGTCCATCTGATGTGCAGGCCTTGTACATCCAGCGTTCAGTGACAGAGCTCAGTGTGCACCCTGCCTGGGTGTGTCTGTCGTCTCACTCTCAGCAGATCCCCGTCTCATTTCTTGACACCGCAGGTTCCATCAGTTTCCCTCCTCACCGATTCAGAACATCCCTGGAATTTCCTCCACAGCTGTTTTTTCTCTCAAGGAGAAAGTGCTCTCCTGCAGACCAAGGTGAGAACACCGTCTCCACCTACACTTCCAAGTCGGCTCTCTCCTCCTCCCCGAGGCAGGTTCCATCTCTCCCTCCTACAGACTCCTTCCCTCTCCAACAAGCTCAGTTTTCTGTTAAACAAGAAGACTCCATGTTTCCCAATTCTTTCACGAACAAGCTTCTGGAAAGAGTAGCCAGCACATGTGCTGTCTTCCTCACTCAGCACTGTGCATCTGCGGTGCTGCTCAGATTGCCTGTGGAGGTTTCCAGGGCCTGGTCACTGGCCTGCACCGGCCCACGTGCAGCTGTTGCCCATCTCCTTGAGGCTGCCACCCCGACCCCCACTGGCGTTCCCCTCCTTGACCTTGAGTTTCTGGTCCTCTGCCCTGCAAGTGCCAGTGTGGGGCCAAGCCTGGGTCCTCAGGCAAGCATTCTGTTCCCTGAGCTCCTCTTCCTCGAGCCCTCTTCCAGTCCCAAGGCTTAAACCAACACTTTCAAGGAAAGGCCGGGCGCAATGTCTCATACTGTAATCCCAGCACTTTGGGAGGCTAAGGCAGGAGGATCGCTTGAGGCCAGGAGTTGAGACCAGCCTGAACAACATAGTGAGACCCCTAGCTACTTGGGAGGCTGAGGCGGGAGGATCACTTGAGTTCCAGGCTGCAGTGAGCTATGGTTGTGCCACTGAACTCCAGCCTGGAGCCCCTTTAGACATCTGTCCCAAGCCTCCTCTTCCTCCACCTTTCCCCAACTATGGCAGCTGTTGCTCCTCAGTCACCTTTGTCCTATCCCTGCCAGCCAGTCCTGGTCTACTGTCTATTCCCAGTTCAGGGCCACAGACTCTTTCCTTGACAAACTTAATTATCCATTCACTCGTTTTCCTATTTTCTTTTCCATACTGCTGCAGAAGGGCCACCTTAATATATAGCCTAATCAAGACCTACTACTCTCACTAATGGCATAGTGGAAAGAGTACGGATTTCAGAATCTGGCAGGCCTGGGTTCAGATCTGGTTTATGACTTGCTGGTGGTGGTTGTGTGATCTGGGCAAGTTGCCCAACTTCCATAAGTGTCTATATTCCCACTGGGGAACAGAGATAGTAATGTCTCCCACTTGGGGTTCTTGGAAAGATTAAATGAGCCTGTATATAAACAGAATCTAGTGTCTGGCAGGTATTAGTAAAACTGGTTTTCTTCTTCCATGTGGTTAATAGAAATAGAGAGTTGTGGGGTTTCTGCGGAGCTGGAAAATGCATGCTTAGCCGAAAGGCCTTCAAATTTAAATGAAAAACAAGCAAAAGAACTGCCATGTGCCGGGGTAGACCATCATTTAAACTGTTGCTGCCACTTTGCAATCTGTAAACCAGGTAGACCTCAGGGGCCAGGGTAGGTGAGCTGGGATGGAGCAGGGCATCGTGTGGGTAAGCTGGCTTGAGCCCTTGGTGGGCAGAGTGGGGCAGGCGGCATCAGGGGCTAGTGCCCCAGGGCTCAGATTTCAGGGGTAGGATTTTAGTCCTTAGAAGGACTTGTGGGCAGAGTAGGCTGCAGCTTTGGAGGAAGAGTAGTGCTTGGCAGGGACCCAACACAGGCATCCAGCAGAAGAAATAAAACAGATTTGGGAAGCAAAATACAGGCTCTGGCTTGACTGCCAGGAGTAGACCAGTTACTTCAGTGGGATCCAGTGGTGAAGTCAGAGCAGGATGCGGTTGACTTTATGCAGAGCCACCACGCAGAGCCCCTTCCATTCTCCCTTACCAAGGCAATGGCTTAGAACAGCCAGGCCGTGTGCTGAGGTGTTCTTCCGGGAGGCCCTTGACCTTGGAGAAAGGAGGCAGATGGGTGGGGTTAAGCTAAGCAGAAATCGTGAAAGTCCCTCTTCTACCTTCATGATGTTAGGATTCTGAGGGGGAGGCTGGGCCAATACCTGTGATGCAACCTGGGAAAACCTACCGTGCCTCCCTGGGGTAAAGGCAAAATAATTTAACATAAAGCAAAGGCTTGCCTGCTAACTGGATGCAGAATGAAGGAAGTGACTAAGAAGTTGGGTGGGGTTTTCCAGGAAGCCCTTCTGGGAAGTAAGACATGGATGAGAGGGATGGGAAGGAATACTGGACTTGGGCAAAGGTGTTTCAGAGAGAGGAAGGAAGAAGGGAGTAGTCACCCTTAAGGGACGGGAAATAGATTATTTTGGAGCAGACCGATTTCCTTATGTTAAGGTGGTTTATTTCAAAAATCAGTGATTTGGGATGTTGCCTCAAGCTCTCAGTAGCATTACCACAGACTTCCTCAGGGACGCACAGTGCTGCGTATAACCGTGGACAGCCACACACTAAATTCTTTCAGTCCTTCCTCGATACTGACGGCTCCCTGTGTGTGGCGTTAAGTGGTTCACTTCACTTACACCGGATCTTTCTAACAAGTGGGCTTCTCTAGCCCCCATCTCTTCCACCTCATAACTGCAGTGTTAAATTTTCTCGCCATCAACTCTGTTCAAGCCTGTTAAACAGCTGTAGGGCCTTCGACACCTGACTTATCTATTCCTACCTTTCCTCACATCATTTCTCCTTCCTAGATTGCCTCCTGTTTTAATCTACTCATCCATGCCCTGTCACCCTTTTGAAAACAAATTCAAAATTCATCTCTTACTAGGTTTCTGTGTTGTGACCCCAAGACCATCCCCAGGTTCCGTGATTGTCTAGGAAGACTTATAGGAGTCAGCGTATAGTCATACTCACAGCCACGATTTGTTGGAACAAAAGGATACAAAGCAAGATTAGCAAAGGGAAAGGTGCATAGGGTTAAGTCCAGGGGAAACCAAATGCAAACTTCCTAGAGTCTTGGAAGGAACTTCCCGGTGGGAATTATGCAGGATGTGCTTAATTTCTGCAACAGTGAATTGTGACAACAGGCGTCAAATGCTGTCTATCAGGGAAGCTCATTAGAGACTCAGTGCCCAGGGTTTTTATTGAGGGCTGGTCGTGTGGGCACCTCTGTCTAGCACATAACAAAATTCCAGACTTCCAGAAGAAAAACAGGTGTTCAGCATGAACCACATTGTTTGCACAAACAGTTTGGGCACAGTGGGCCACTCCTATCAGTTGGGGTGGTGGGAGCCTCCAGATATCCAGGTTCCCAGATGCCACCAGGGGCCATCCTTGCAAGCAGACCTTTCTAGCGATGGCAGTCTCAGGCCTGCTATGTTAACTCCTTTCTGCACAACTTTCCTCCATAATGCCACCTGTACCGTCCTCTCAGTGCCTAACTGTAGTTATACTGTACAGCAAATCACCCTAGACAAGGAGCCAGAAGACCTGGGTTCCAGCCCAGCACAGCCTCCTACTGCTGGGTGACCCTTTGAACCCCTCACAGCCCATTTTCCTCATTTGGAAAAGGAGAATTGTAATTCTTATTTGTAGACCTCAAGAGTGACTGAAGATCAAAGGAGATGATATAGTTGGTCATTCTGCCCATCTTTCTTGGTTGGGCACCTGCGTTGTCCAAGTGAGTGAGCTGCAGAGAGTAAGAGGTGAGTGTGATGTCGTGGCTTTGATAGCAGACAAGCCTGAATCGCTACCCGGCAGTGACCAGCTGTGGTACCTCGTGCACACTGTGTAATCCCCCTGAGCTTTGGGTTTCTGATCTGTAAAATAGGAAGATGAATAATACCTATACCTCATGGGGTTGCTGTGTGGATTAAGTGGCACAACCCATGTGAAGTTCCTAGCTATGGTATCTGGCACATTCTAGGCATCCCAGGTGGCAGCTGTTAATTGACTCAGATATTTGAGTGCTTGCCTGTGTCAGCACCTTCAAAAAGATAGACACAGCCCCAGTGCTGCCTTCTGAGTGCTGGGGAAGACTAATGTTGAACAGTAATTACGTAAATAATTAATGACATTCCTGGTAAGTGCTGTAGGTGATTACAGGGCATGTCATAAGGAAGGGGGAACCTAACCTGGCAGAAGAGGCACGCAAAGGCTTAGCTGCATGTGATGTTCAGCTGGGCTTGGATGCGTTTAGCTCAGCGAGGTGGGGGAGAGAGGGAGGAGAGGACGTTTGCAGCAGAGACCACAGCTTGAGCAAAGGGACACCAGCCTTTGGATGAAGGCTGTAAGGAGGGAAGGTTCTCTGTTCATATGAGGAACAGCGTGCAGACCAGGGAGGCTGGGGAATAAGGGGTGGGGAGGGAGGGAGCTCCCAGGTGACCTCAGAGATGTGGGCAGGGGCACTGTAGGTTGTGTTAGGGATCGGGAACCTTAAGAGTAATGGGAGACTTTGAAAAGGTTTTGAGAGTCACACCAGCTTGGCTTTTTCAAAAGCTCAATCAGGCTGCTGTGTGAAGAATGCTTTGGAGTGGCAAGAGTAGGTGAGGGAGGACCAGTTACAGGAGAGAGAACGGGATGGTGGCTTGAATCAGGGGTTGATCGTGGGAGTGAAGTAGGCTGAGTGTATTTATGAGGCACATTCAGGAGGCTTCAGTAACTAATTGGATGCGGGGGGTGCAGAGAAGGCATTGCCAGGAGTGATGCTAGTTGTCTGGCCACAGCAGCAAGGTGGAGAATGAGTCTTTACGTAGAGGGAGCTCTGGAGAGAGAGCTCTTGGGAGAGGGGAGTGGGTTCAGTTTGGGACGAGTTGGCTTTGGAGCACCTGTGAGGCATTCCAAAGGCGGTGCTAGGTAGGCAGTAGCATCGATGGGTCTCTATGCAGAGGTGATGTCTGCGCTGGAGAGAGAGTGACAACTAGGAGTTGTTTGTTTTTATGTGGTCTTGGATACCAGCACATGTGGTTTCAGGGAAGCTGAAGGGAAAGTGTTTTAGAGTGTGGGTGTTGGGTATGGAGAGTGGGCGGTTGCTGAGATGTCAGATAAGGTGAAGGTTGAAGATTGACCATTGCACCAGTGACCCAGAAGTCTCTGGTGACCTTGGTGAGGGCAGTTTGAGGGGTTGGTGAGGGTGTAACTGGCTGGAGCGGCTGAGCGTTGGGTGGAGGAGAGGCCAGTGGAGATCGAGGTGAGGGTGAGTC